TGAAGATGAATATCGAGACAAAGCAAAATATTTGCTGGTGCATTTCCCAACACAATGCGATGGCCTCATTTGGGATTTTTGTCTTCCTCATACACTTCTTTGTTGACAGGTCTTGAAGGAAAGGCTAGCTTTTACAGGCAGTTTGGAAGAAGTGTACTTAAAACATGGACTTGAATGAAAAGAGCATGTGGTGGACAGGCCAGAAGTGGTGACCCTTGCCAATACCGTGTTGACATGTGAGAGGATACAAAGAAGGTGGCAAATACAGAGGCAGCAGCATAGATCTATATTATTATAGAGGTTTGCAAAATCTATCTACATTTTTAACAAAAGGCTCTTCTGTAACAAAAGCTAAAGCTGGTTTGCAAGATCTAATCTGTCATATCCCAGGCACTTTCCAAATCTGTCACTCTGCTTCTTTCTGCCCCAGTGACAAAGTATAGCTTTGGAATACAAATCAATTTGGAATATAGGAAAAGGCCCATGAAAAAAAATGAGAAGTGTGGTTTGTGCAATCTCTTATTTCGCACACATTTAATTATTTTAAATCTCCTACTACAATACCATGAAATCAAATCTCATCTTCATGCATACCTTCTGGAAAATAATACTAATTTGCAGAAGAGATTGACAAACATGCTTTCCCTCCTTCTCACTGAATCAAGGTACTTGTTAGTTTAAGCTCATCACAGGTTTAAATGGCCCTATGATGGTCTTAAAGCTAACATTCACAAATTAAACTTGAAGTGGTAATTGCCTGCATTCAGACAAAGATAAGAGAACAAATTCAGGGCTAATTAAAAATTCTCTCAATGAAAAATGTTATACTGTTAGTATTACGATTTCTGTTTCAAAGTTCCCTATATTCCTCTGTTATGACTGATCCTTCCCGATCTGACATCAGAGAAGGATGTTACTAGCTGTATTTTTCAAGAGCTAGCAAAGGAGAGTTTCCCTTTCCATTTCATGCCTTTTCTCCAGTTCTATCATTGCCTGTAATCTAAGATTAACATCAGTATCTGGTTCTTCACTGTATACTGACACTGTAAAACAGTAAACTCCACTGTTCTTGTCAGTATTTTTTTTCTTGGTATCTAACACATGTATCTTCTCCACTAAGCACATTTCTCTTTTCTCCCATTTATTCAAACATCTTTTCCCATAATATACTACAAGCCAGTGAACTAAGAGGTCTACTACTAGGAAGGATATGTATCCTAGTAGAATGTAATAATTTAGAATACGATCGCTCCCCTGATCAGAAGAGATTACTACAGATTGATGTACTGGACAGCGAACAACCACATGCCTGCGAACTCTGTAACACAACTGTTGCAATGTTCCCACTCGTATCTCCAAAACCAAGCTGAAAGGGCCATTTGCTATTCTGAATAATTGATGGTTTTGGCTTATTATTGTTATAGGTCCAAAGCACAGATATATGGGGGGTCAGTCATTCTAACCTGATGCAATGCTAGGCATAATTATGGGCACCATCAAAGTTCCCTACAGCATTTAGGACGTTGTTTTTCATTACCAAGGAATTTCCACAGATACTTTAATTTGGAAAAAAACTTTCTATGGCTTTTGGGATATTAAAGAAAATACCACCAGATTCCAATACAGCGCATATTAGTGGTTTCCGCATTTGACCATGAATATCAGGGTTTGATTAACAGCAAAAGTACTCATGAGCTGTCTGTTCTTCAAGATCTTTAAAAAAAGCTTGCTCTAGACCGTGAGATGCCTTATGTGCATTTAGTGGTATGGAAGGCTCTGCTCCCTAAAGCCATATTGCAGCCAGCCTTACAGAATTCTGCTTCCTTTTGCCATTCTTCCAGTTCTACCTTTTCTCCTCTGATGGTTCTGGATTTGTGGAGCACTCTTTTTCCTGATTTTTGGAAAGGTAAGAAAATCAGTTTCATTTAAATCCTGTTCAACTAACTATTTCAATAGGTGCACATCAATAGCCCAAACTAGGAGAAAAATCTCACCTGCTTAAATTTTTCATGCAAATGCCATAAATATTTATCATGATTAACTGAGCAGCTTCTTTAATATGATTTGTAAGCTATTTTTTTTTATTTCTAGTAAGAAAACTTGTCCTGCACAGTAGTGATCATAGTGTTATATAATACCTCGCAGCTAAAATGCCACATGCCACTTATAAGGAGAAAGGACTAATCAGACGAAACTTAAAATATATGAAGAAATGGGCTTTGCTCTAAAACTGGTCATAGGCCTAAAAGTACTGCACATCTTCATTGTGTATGAGATGATTGAAAAATTATTTGAAAGAGACTCTACACAAAATCTTCCTGAAGGAGAATCTTCCTGGAGAGAAGGAAGGAATGGAGCAGTTGAACTATGTTCAACCCTTTCTGTTTGCCTCTGAAGCTAATGATCTTCCATCTCACTGAAACTGTCCTATATGGCTGTAAGGTAACAACTAGATTGGATTTTAAAAGGAAAGTCAAGAATGTACTGCTGATTCTTTACTTTTTTTAAGCCTTCAATATATACTGGTTTCCAAATCACTTGGGGACTCAGCAAGAATTACTTCCTATTCTTAGATCAAAAGCCACCTACAAAATACAATCAGGAAAAATGTTTCAATGCTTATCAGAAAAGTTTCTATTTCTTAATGACAGCAGAAACAATGGAAGGAATTCTTCAGAATACAGAGTTTCAAGAACCAATTTTATGGGTCGATAGAAAGAAAGATACTGTGGAAATAAGGGTGATCTTGGAGAGAACTGGATGTACTGAGAAAGCCTGCATTGACTGTACTCCATAGAAAACACACACAAAGAACTTGAAGCAACATCTGGTAACAGCTCACATTATGATCAACTATTGCCTTTTGTACCCATTTCACCTCTTTTGATTGATAGGTTTGCTCTAGGTAGATGTCCCGATCACCAAACCTTGAGATCACAGACATGAGGATTGCTGTGGCTAATTACTGATGGCTAATCCCATCGCATGATAGGGATGCAGTCTTTCACTTCAGTTACACCTGACCACCTCATTGCCACTGATGCTTATGTACTTCATAGCCCCAGAAAGTCACAAATGACCTCAAGTTTGACTTCAGGCTACACATGTGAGTAAAGAAGTACATGGTGGCATGGAGCATTAAAAAACAACTTCTTACTTGTGCGTGGGGTCCATCTGTAAGCAACTGCTCTTCATACCTCTTCCAATCATGCAGGCACTGAATATGCTGGAGGTGATTCTGTTCAAGCTTCATTTAAGAGAGCTCTAGAGCTGGATACTGCCTGTGTACTGGTGGCATTTGTTGCAGTTTCTTCTCTTTTCACAGGCTCAGATCTACATATGGATGTTGAGCAAGTACCAGCTCTTCGCTGACTGACTCCAAGGCATATTGGCCTACAGAGTTCTTTGGTTCTACTACGAATACAGGATGTGAATCAGCACAACAAGGTCAAACCCAACGTGATGCTGGGAGTAGAGTGGGACGGTGTCACAAACTGCTGAAAGGGATGCTTTCAGGGAGCTCCTCCTAACAAAACCCACTCTCTCTTCCATGTGTCTTCTAACAAACATTGCTCATGAAAGGCCAGTTTGTTTACAAGATAACGCCCCTTAGCTAGTATCGTAATTTGATGTGTTACGGCAAAGTTCATTGACTACAACTAGTTTTCAGCATTAATGTTTCAAATCTAAACAGCGTCCTCTGTTATTTCCTCAGTTCACTCCCTCTGCCCTCTACACAGAACTAGCGGATACTTGCATTACCAGATCTAAGAGGCTGGTGTGCTTTATACTTGATGCTCTGGTTCCAGCTTCTCACAAATCAAAGCAAGGAAGCAAGGATTTTTTTCCCCCCAGTAGTTATTACGACAGTATCACATTTGCCCAGTAACAGGAAAGAAGTGTATGTGCTGCAATGGAAAGGATTCGATAATATCAACTTCCTTGCTTCCCCAACACAAGAGACCGAGCAAGGTTCTCAAACGAAAATAAGACCTAAAAATGTAAGATTACAACATTTGGGTAAATAGGTTTAGCACAGCACACACAGTAAGGTAGAAGGTCATGCTGAAAGTACTAAAAATCTAGATTTTCCAAGCATACAGATAGATGGAAACACGCCAAAACCTGTCCCACATTGGGACCAATGGGATCAAAACATGCTTTTAAGTCAGTTACAGTCGAACTCTTTTCAATCACTTCTTTCTTAATACTGCTCCCACAACTCCCAGCCCTTTGAGATTCAGAGAAGATGTTCTGAGTCACTTTTTGCCATTAAGGTCAAAGGGGGTCCATTGCTTTTTTCAACAGATATGGAAACAGGCTCCTGATTTTCATCTTAAAACATTAACACTGGAGAGCTACATGCCACCGAGCGGTTTCCTAGTAGGTACCCATTTTCAACTCTCTGTTTGAAGATCCAAAGGTGCCCCAGATCATGTCCCAGGTGTATTTTTGAAAACATTTCCCCCTTCTTTCCAGTCTCTGCTGGTGCACTCCTAGTTGCATTCCTGATTTGCTTACCTTTTACACCATGGTTCTAAGCTATCTATTGGCAGTGTCATCTTTAGAGCAATGTCTGCACAGATGACTTGCAGACATCCTAGTCCATTTGTTTTTTTCTGTCCATTCAGAAGATGCCCTTTTACTCTTTCCTCCAATCTCTCTCTTGATAACCCATTGATGAACCGATCACCTAAAACCAAATCCACACTAGGAAAACAAACAAACAAAACTCAAAAACCTGTCCTTGGTTAAAATGGGTGGTTACTGTACTTTCCAGATTCATAAGTCAACACAGAGTTGTGTTTGCCAGTTCCTCTCCTCAGTCCCAGAAACATCATCGCTAAATGAGGCGAACTTAACCAAAAAAAGGGACATGGTCTTCTACTGCTGCATTCGTAAAAGATCTGAACCAATCAATGGAAACATGCATGATGATATTATGTACATATAGTAGGGACACCCAAAATGTATTTATTTTTATTAAATGTGTAGCTTACCTTTCTGCCCATGACGACTGCTAAATTTATCTCCAATTTCTGGGCGTCTAGTTTGCCTCAGCAACATTTTGATCAAGAAAGCGTCCTCTGCATTTGATGAAATCATTACTTTTTCAATATAAGAATCAGTTGCACCTTTGTAGCTAGTACAAGAAGACAAAACATGAGGTTTACATCTATGAACCTAACATAAGTTACAAACAAGTATCTGTGTATTGGAAAGCTTCTGGCTAAACTGTAGTCTTCACGGAACTTATATATGGGAGGCCAATGGAGTAAAGATTATGTAAAGATTATGTAAAGTTCCAGAATACGGTATGTTTCCAGAAAAGAAAAGGCTTAAGAGATACAACAGAAGCAAAGGGAGAGTTAAGCTGAACTTGTAAAGAACAAGGTGTATTTTTTTGTCACCTGGGCTGCTCTTGACACAAAAAAGCTTCCTAGTGTACTGCAAATTTCTGGATCTTCAGTTAAACAAACAAAAGCCAAACAGAGAGTTAGAGAATTTAACAACAAAATTAAGGCATAATATCCTGAATGAAACTATGCATCAGGTGCAGGTGTGGAAATGAACCAAGGGCAGAACATAGTATAAGGTACAGAAAAAGATGAACTCTAGAGTCTGAGACACAGAGATTTTGGAAGGAGAGGGGAAAAAAAAAAAAGAAAAAAAGGTAGGCATGACAGAGCAGGAAGAAAAAGGAAATTATTCTGGTATTAGGTGTTTTTTTCTATATATTGCAGAATGAGAGTAGAGCAGATTTTAATAACTTATTTAGATTATTTTGTCTCATTGTTCAGGTAGCTGAGATGGTCAAACTATGACACCTAAACTCAGATCCATGTCATTACCTGGCAGGATTTCTTCTTTCCTCTTGATAATTACACTGTTGCTTCATTTCTTTATTAATATCTCATAGGAGTAAACCTAGAGCTTTCTGTTGGTTATGAAATGCACAGGAGTGTGGCAAAGCTACTCCTGCCTTTCTGATCTGGGCACCAATTGCTTGCCTTGCTCTCTGCTAACTTACCAAACCATCAAGGCTATTCCTGATAAAACAGTGAAAAATCCTTCACTGTTTATTTATTTTTACATTTAATGCAAAATTTTCATCTCACAGCTCGGAAGACCTCTCCTGTTCTTTAAGGATGGGAAAAACTCTTATTGACTGTCCTTTCCCATTCACTGGTACCTTGGTAAATGACATCTAATTGGAGTGGCCAGAATGAGCTGACTGTCAGCCTCTGAGATAGGAAAGCCTCCATCTCCTGGCCTCCTGCCTGGTGAAGTGAAGGCTGAGCAACAGTCAACATTGGCCATTTTCTGTGGGAGCCAGCATGGAGATGTGCCCCCTCACTAACTACACGTATGTTCTCTGTCCTTCCACTCATCCTGCTTTTCTCCTGTTTCTCCATCACTTCATCCAGGAGTGACTCCTCTCCCCTCTACCACTGTCTTAGCTCTCTCCTCTGTTTCTCCTGGGAACCTGCTTGGTGATTCCTGTCTATAGATACATCTTCAGGAGGGTTCCTCCCTCTCTTTGCAGCTCTAGCCTTTCAGGTGTCAGAATTTAACTTATTAGTGATTAGTAACTAGGTACTTCTGAAAATACCGTAGGCTCTGAAAAATCCTGTGAAAAAGCAAGACCTAGAGAACTAGGTCTAATTTGCAGAGGGAAGTTTATTTCTTTGACTTTTCTAGAATTGAGTATTTGCTCAGATACCTTTCCTCCAAGTACATTCCCCAAGTATAGTTATGATGCAACATACGTTACGGGCACATCTTTGTACTGTGGCTGCTGAGGCACGCTGCTTCCTTCCAGAGACGTCTGGGTCACAGTTGGCATAGATTTGTTCACAAGGACTTGCTTATTCTCTACTTTTTCACCTTCAAAGAACAAGAAACAAAGCACCATGAAAACGTATCTGGCTACCTATGTTAGAAATACTTTTTAAGCTTTAAAAAAAGGTAAGCTGGAAGACAAACTGGAACACGTCCAGGAAGTAGGCCACGTTATTTTATTAAATATTGCATGGTAAGGGAATCATTAAACTAGCTTTTTTTTGTAAATCAAACCAGAATAGCTTGCATGCTGGGCGCGCTATGTGAATAGCTATTCAACATACCCTGGGTCTAAAGAATACACAAAAGCATCTGAAGTGATCTGCCATAAGTAAGGAAAAAATTAACAAGCAACACTGTAACTGACAAATTTTAGAAAGTCACACTTAAATTTGGGACATCACATCATTTCCACAATGAGTTGTGCAAGACTACTTTCAGCCCCTCCTTGCAATTACTTTTTCCTATTGCTTCTGGTCTCGTACATCTGCTATTTTCCCCTTCGTTCCCTTATCCTGCCCTTCACATAGCAAACCAGATAAGCAGCACGCCCAATGATACTAATGCACATCAAGTACCTCCCACCTCCTCCACAAAACTACACTAAACTTCAGCTTATGTCTCTTTTTCTGTCCAAATGAACTATTTCAAAGAGGTTTTTACCTACATGCTGAGAACAGCCTGAGTCTGGAGTCCACCCCAGTCCTATCTATCCTAGTACTTCAGAAGATTCTTGCCTTTTTTTTTTAAATTAACTTTGAAAGCTCCATTGTGATGTGCTAAACAGCAAAAGTGACCCAATTGTGTTGCTATAATGGAATTAAGTTTAGTGCCTTTTACAGCACCTTTCTTATTAGATCTCAGCAGATCTATTAAGTTGTTTCCTAATTGAAGGATGACAGTATGGGAAGATTCTTTCTCAAATTTATTTCCATTGGAAAGTTATACACCTATTCTCACAACTAAATGTAGTTGTATTCATCTTCTTATCTCTCTCCAAACATATTTCTAAAGCGTTTAAGACACAAGGTTTTACTTCCTCAAACAATTGCATTAACTGACAGCATGCTAGGAGGTTTTGATGTATGAAATCAAAATAATAAGGAATCTATCCTTAAAAAACAACGACAGAACATATGAGAGAGAAACAGTAAAAAAATTACAGTATTAAAAGTTTGCCAGTTTGGAGATATAAGAAGAACACAAATTCTAATGTTTCAATAGATTCACACTGTTAAAGACTCACTCTTCCACTCAAATATGAAATTCCATTTTCTCATTCACACACCCCCCCCCCCACGCTGCTTTCAGAAACTAACATTTTTTTAATTTTCCATTCCAATACTGTCACCTTCAAGAAAAAAAAATTACACTTAGTATAAAACAAGTATTAACAGAATATTAATTTCCACCTCAGATTATGCACATGCCATGACTGAACATGTAGTTTGACATACCTGGAGAGCAGATACCATCAGCATCTAAAATTTCATGGCGCCAGATTGGTTTACGGGTAGCTGCATCCAGAATTTTCCATTCCAATACTGTCACCTTCAAGAAAAAAAAATTACACTTAGTATAAAACAAGTATTAACAGAATATTAATTTCCACCTCAGATTATGCACATGCCATGACTGAACATGTAGTTTGACATACCTGGAGAGCAGATACCATCAGCATCTAAAATTTCATGGCGCCAGATTGGTTTACGGGTAGCTGCATCCAGCATCGGACCCATAACTTTATCAAATGTCTGGTTTGTGTAACGCTTCAGTGTACACTTGGCATTCTTATACACAAGACACCTTCCAAAACCTAAAATGTAACACAAACTCATCTACCCAGGAGTTCAAAAATCCTTTATAACACTTTATCAGAATAAAACAAGAATGCTGAACCACCTGCTGAGCTATAGAATACAGAATATTTTTTGATTAGTTAGATTATTCATTGTCTTGATATGCCTAACATTGTACATGGATACCTAGTAGGTCACAATTTAAAAATCATAGCATGCATGTTATTTTTTTTAGACATTGAACTATGGTCCAATTCTGAAGTTGTGCTAATCCCTTTCTATACCTCTGCACATACATGCACGCATCACTTCTCTTATCTTTGGTGATCCACAGGGAGACATAATATAGGAGAAGAGACTGTAACAGGATGAGAATAGCACCTCTTCCTTTCAGGAGTTCTAGGAAACTGGAACTTTTAGTTTTGTTTGTGGCTGACACAAGCTAGCCTACCAGGAAAGTACCAATTATTTCACATAATCACCTCATTACTCACTTTTTTCCCAGCTGCAAGAATTATGAATTATATATATTGTTATACAATAGGTTTGTTCTGGGTTTTAGATGAGAAAAGCAGCATCTCTGGAATTTCTCACCAAATACAGCAAACAGCCACAATACTAAACACTTTCATCACATTTAGAATTACAGACAGCCAAGAGCAAGGCTTTCTAATAATCCTATGTTATTTTACTTATTTGAAAGACGGCTGCGGCCACATACAGTCATCTGTATCTTTAGATTATGTCAAGTAACTTCTGACAAGCACCACCACAGCTCTCCCTGTAAATGTTACCAGTCTACCAGAAAAGAAAACATTCAGCTTTAAATCATGCCTGTTGTTGTTTTAGAAAAGGAGGCATAAATTAAATGCGGCAGACATTAATGCCAAAGATACATGTCTAGGAATACTGTTATTGCTGCCTAGCAACTAGGAGGAAGGGAGTGGAGGAATAAAGTCATGGAGGAATCTGATTTTGGCCACCCGAAACTAAAACCAATTTGATCACACTGCACTATGTCTTCTTTCAAGGGCATTTATTTAAAAAAGAGAGAGAGGAGAGACTAAGTTTTCAGGCAACTCTCCTCCAACCCCAGCAACATTAACATAAAGTGCTGAAGAACTGTGGAGAGACAGGCCAGACGAGCACAAACACAGGTTTCACTTAGTTACCTTCCATTTGGTGCTTATGTACTTTTACTTAAAATATGCTGCACTGCATAGATTTTTAAATTTTTTTAAGGAAGCAGATCATTAGTTTATCTCTGAATAAACAGCAAATTATTTGGTTTTAGACAATACTATTATTCTCCCTCAGAAACTAGGCAATACTGCTATTGCTCCATCAGAGCATCAAGTTCATAGTGACACAAACCGCCACGCCTTCCATTTCTCTCCCAAACACATTCAGAAGTCTAATTTCATCTATTGCTTTTATTACTGGTGAAAATAATGAGTCCCTTCTGTTTGTAATGAACAAAGGTTCAGGTAACCATCTAAAAAGCAAGCCCAGCAGAACAGATTATCTACATATCTTACATTTTATGTAAATTAAGTATTTTCGAAAAGGGACTATTTAAGCTTTTTTATTTGAAGTCAAAAGTTAGCCATTTTTTCTTATAATATCCATACTCAGAAGTTTATTCACATGTTGGCAGCTTCACCACACTATTGCCAGCATGGAACTACAATTACTATTCATGCAGAAAACAAAACAAAACCATTCAAACCGGTTTTGGAATTCGATTTCTTAATTGGAGATGTACTGTTCATAACTGCAATAGAAGTTATGATAGGATAACGTCATGAAACAAGAAGTTTATTAAAACATGTATTACCTCTGTCCAAAGAGGCTTTGTTTAAGACAAGAGCGTCTTCGATATCGTAACCACTGTAGCTCATCACAGCAACTGTGGCATTCTGTCCAGCAGGCAGTTTTTCAAAATCTATCAGTTCAATTGTTTTTGTTTTCACCATTGGCTTTTGCGGATAGGCTAGGAGATACATAAGAGTATCTATCCTGTTTCTTTGATTGTATCCAATAGTACCTGTATGTAAAAGAAAAAAAAAAGTGTGTGAACATTAGTGAGTTTCCTAGAAATGTTTTGGCTAAAAACTTACCAAAATGCAAATGAACTAAAACCACAAACTGAGGAATTGAATCTAATAATAGAAATTCTTCAAGAAAAGAAGGAAAAAAATATCATAAAAGAGACCAAACCAACACAACTTTACATTATTATATTTAAATAAAGATATAAGTGTCTTAATATAAGCTTCCAGAAAGAATTATTTATTTTTTCTTAAACAGGGAAAACCTAAGCATCAAGACAAAATCAACAACAACAAAAGAAATCAAAGTCAGGTTGTATATGACTGAATGGAAATAAGATTTTGTTTTTTAATCATGACACTGAATAACAGTGCAAGTATGAAGTTTGCTTTTATTGTTCTAATAGCCATAGTTTGTGTTTTTTTTCCCAGAGAGCTGAACTTGTGTTGTGTTTCATAGACCTGATCCAAAATTTCATGAGAATCAATAGAAAGACTCCCATTGAGTTCAAGAGGAACTGTGGATCAAGATCTGCGTCTTCCACATCATATTTCCTTCCTTTTTCTGGGCAATAATTAGTTCAACAGCAGCCTGTGTTAGAATGTCACAAAGCATGAACAAAGCATACAGTTAGCAGCAGCCAAGACTGATTTACTTTCTGAAATTAGAGGCATCATTGCTTGAAAGACTACAGTAGAAGTTCACTCACAATATATTTGTCTTTTTACATGAAATTAATTTTAAATTTACGGTTCAGAATTCAATCCTTTGTATAGACCTCCCAGCTTGAGACTGAAATTTTTGGCCCTGTCCCATCAGACTGCCAAAGTGTCTTCTGAAATCTGAGGAAAAAATAATTAACACCCAGCAGGGAAACATAAACTGTTGTGTAGCAGAACAAAAGTTAAGGCAATCGTATGTTATTCGAGTTTGCTGTACCAGGACTATGCTAGGTCTCTATGCAATTAAGAAATTATAGTCTGAAAAGTTAAAGTTTTAAACTTTTAAGTACTAAATATTCTGCAGTACTTGTGCTTAGGAGGCAAGTCTTTCAAAACCTTTCCATTTTCTCCTGCAATTTCAGAGGCTGGCTGCTCTCAAGGAAAGGTCAAAGTAGCCAGCGTATAATGAAGACTTCACATGGCCAGAATGTAGTACAGTTGAACACAAATCTGCTCTTAGGGGAGGGTAGGTTCACATTTTATATGCATCTACTTGCAATTTCCAAATGTCTGCATTTAATTTAAATGTCTAGAAAATCAAATATCTAAAATCAGGCAGCATCACGGGCAGTTCCACAGATCTACCCTGTCCTTGGCACTAAGCGCTCTCTCCTAAACCAGCACAGGTCTACCTGTTTCAAGGATGAGAACAGGGAGATAGCTCAGCAGATACTGTCTGAAAATGAACTGTTATAACACGCTTTTGTATACCCAGACTTTCCTTGGTTCTAGAAAGAAGATTTGAACCCACAGGCACAGCATTTTTAAATGGCGAGGAAGATTTGGTAGAGTTGACAGGCTTTACTTGTGTCTTGCTCTTGAGCAGTTGCTTTTCTGTCTTTTTCTCGGGAAAGGAAATTAATCATCCATGAGCAGTATTTTCTGTCTCCAGAAAGAAGCAAGCTGCTAGGGCCTGGATTCACCAACACTGAAAACCCTCCCAGTCACACCCCGCAAGGCCCACCATCTGAAGGCCCTATTACTTCTGATATTCCCTTAGCCTAAGTATTAGACATTGTTTTCATTGTACTCTGATAAACAAACTGGTTTTCCCACTATACAGCTAGGAAAATCTACTTCCAAATTAAAGTCTTAGAGGTTTAGACCAATTTTCCCCTCTGCACCTAGAATGAATAATTTGTGTGCTTTCAGGGGAGGTTGTCTGCTGTAGAGCTTATCTTAAAAGTTTCATGGATAGGTACATTTTACTGTTGTTGAGAGAAATCTTCTCCTGAGTATGCCACACCAACTTTCACTTTTGAAATGCTGGTAATATTTTTTCTCCTCTGAGATGCTTATATGCCATACCTGCTATGATTCACTGGTTAGGGATGCTAAGATGCAATGAAGTCTGAAACACCTGATCATAACTAAACTTGTCCTTTGTACCCCAGCAACCACCTGTGGAAGTCCCCAATACATCAAGGATTACAGATAAGACTTTTACATATTTCAGGTAATGCAAATTAGTTCTCTCTCAGATGCTTCATATATTTCAAAGTCAGTATTTTTATCAGAGGTTCAGATAAGCGTAACAGAACTGTTACTGTTTGTACCAGACCAGGAGCCATGAGCAACTGACAATACTGAGATTTTGAGCTTCAATTATAAACTATATTCAGGCAATTCTTCAGGAGCCGAATGCTGTATCATACCAAATGGAAAACGTATACATACATATATCAATGATGGATACCCTAGCAGGAAAGAAACTGGCTAGAGAATGATTCAAGAGCACAAGTGAAATAGATTAGTCAAAAAGCACACTGTAAATCAGCAATATTTGTCCTAATTGCTATGATTTAAAGGTTATATGAATAATGCCTTCTCTAGACTGGTCTAACAATCCACAGCCTTAAATCATAATCTGCTTATTTAAAATTAAGAAGCAACTCTCTTCTTCTGAGGACTGGTGTGTTGGAACAAGACCTCTGTGTGGGCACTGAAATGAAGGAAGTCACTAGCTTTATTTCTGTTTTCTCTCTGAAAGAACAGAGCTCTTGTTTGCCTCAGCCAAACAGTCAAGCAAAAGTAAAGTTTAATTAAACTTCACCATAACAAACCCTGCTCACAATGACCCACATTTATAATTATCCCAACAGCAAGAAACAATTTTTTTTCATTGGTAATTAGCCTTGTTTAAAGTAAAACACACAAGGTTGACCTGGATACAACAAAGATCATTTTCTTGCTTTTCTCAGTGATCGGTATATTGTGAATGTAGGTGTGCATTCTTTCCTTTTTTCCATTTCCTGACAGGTTTTTTTTTCTTTTAAAGTATCATTTGATCATTCTTCAGTGTGAAGCAATCACTATAAAAAGGCTATCTATTGATATTTAGCATAAATGGGATATTGTTATTGCGATGCGGAAAGTTTTGAGAACTCATCAGAATAAAGCAGACAGCTAAAATAAGCATTTATCCAATTCTCTGGTGTATTACTTACAGCAACATTAAACCGTACAATCAAAACTAACAAGGATACAGAAATCAATCTACTTAAGACATGAGCCAAAAGGGCTATTATTGCACATGTCAAGAAAAGCATTGCTGTACTACTGTATTTCCCCTGATTTCACCATGGATTTTCTATTATTCTGTCATTTTATATGAGCACAAACCAACAGAGAAAGGAGTACAGTTTTTAAATGCTGCACTGAACCTTGTGGAGGGAGCTCCAGCTCAGCTCAGAGTGATTTTCACAGTACATGTATTAAGTGATCTGGATGTTCAGCATTTGAAATATTCTTTTCATCGTAGAAAGATTAAGAAGTCACTTAAAATGATTACGGGTAAACTAGAGGAAGCAGTCTTGTTCATTTCCCTCTCAGCACTTCTGTGCTTACTACCAGTGAGGGAAGAGCTGGCAAAAAGAGATGGTGTCGCAGAGCACAAACGTTGCTCCTCAAAGAGCAGCAGCAGAACCGAGCCCTGGCCACAAAGCACCCAGATCCAGCTGTGATGACCAGCAACAGCCAGTTTTCCTTTGACATTTGTTTCGATCCTCTGCCAATAGGCTAGCTGTACAAAATTTGGGAGCACTTTAGCTTTCGGCCCACCAACAAGCCTTTCACAACTGTGAAAAAACAACTACCCTCAGCACTCGGTTCCTTGAAACACATTTGTCTTCTCAACTCAGTTTTAACACATGCAGCTGGTTATAGCACAAGGCAAAGCAGTCTATCAAGGGCTTTGCTATTGCACAGAAGCAAAGCAGAATGTCCATGATACAATAATATTTTCTGTAATATTAAAGAAGTTGCTTCACCATAAATGTCTGCAACAAACCTCTCACCCACCTACCGCCCTCTCCTCAAATACTTTCAGCTCTTCCACAGGTTAAAGTAGTAATTAACACCCAAATCTTCCTTTCCTTACTCAAGACTTGTGTTATGACATTTGGGTTGAAATTGCAGTGCACAGTTGGGCTGTGAGAGCGTACAGCTTGCTTTGTGTACCCACACTGCCACTTTCACAGATGCGCATGTGCATGTGCAATATGGTGGATTACTGGCAGGAAAATGTGTATATTTTCATTTCTTACATTAGGCTTTTATACAACACCTCACAGTCACAGAGGTACAGTGTGTAAAACAGACTGATCTTCTATGTCTTAATGGAATTTAAAAGCTCCAGTTAAAATTATTTCTCTAATTGTAGGAGCCTTTGATCCTCTTAAACATTATTTTAGCAACACATGGAATGCAAACAGTACGGACCCTTGTATTTTAATCTTAAATACTTCTCAGATTTTAAGCTACAACTGTTCGCTTTGCACTGAAATGTCAACATTCAACTGAGGTCCTTGCAGCTGCTGTTGTATTTGCCACCTAATCATAACTTCCCCTCAGTCTTACAGTTCAACCTGCAACATATGGTAATTATCTATGCCAAAACAGAGGGATTTAATTTCAATTTCATTTCACTGAAATCCAGTTTGCTCACTAAGCGCAGCCCAGTTCCTCCAACAAAATGACTCATTCTGCCCATGAAAGGGAGGTATTTTTCAGGACATTTAATGTTATCCTGCAGAAACACTAATATTTTAATACCTAACACTTGTCAGGGATACTGGATTACAGACTCCATTGCAAGCTCTGACGTTCACTCTCCATTTACTTGTGCTTTCACAACCTTCCCTAGCTTGGTATTGGTTAAAAAAAGAGCAAAGACTGTCCAAAGCTGCTGGCAGAGCCCCATGACATGGTCAGAGGGGGTCAGTGTTGAGTAGCACGAGGCCTTCCTTTCCCAGCCCAAGCCACAGGGGCTCCCTCCATGCCCCCAGGTTTTGACAGCTGAGGGAATGACACAGTGGACTTGGACATGAGACTTTCCACATGACAATGCTGGGCCAGAAACTGCTCTGCAATTTCAGGATGGGGAAAGAAAGCAAGAAGGGTGGATGGTTACGTAAAGGTGGAGGGTTGAAGCACTACATCACATCTCTTCATAAATACAAACAGAAAAATGTATGTGTAATGTTTCAGGAATATCTTCTAGGTCTCATTTGGTCAATAAGTGTAGAGAAAAATCTTTTCTGCCCTTACATATGGCCACTAAGGATGGCGGGTTTTTAAGTAGTTACTACAAAAAAGCTTCAGGTGTTTGCAGATACTTCAGGCAGAGCAAAATATAGTTCAGGTCATGTGCCAACTTTTAAAATGTACTTTTATCTAGCTGCTTATTCTTTGAGTCAGGTGTTTTGTCATAACAAACCGAAACAAAGGCTTTTTTTATTGCTCAAGATATTCAATGGCTTTTGTGTTCCTAGCGTCAGCAGGCACGTCAGTAAATGTGCAAGACCTAGGGTCAAAGCAGCTGAATACACCAACCTCAGAAAACACAGACAATGAATTGCAAATGACACTCAAAACAAAACGGGAAAAAAACCTTCACACAGAAAACTACAAAAGAACTCCACAGATACTGAACTGGCTTTCTGTACACACTGATCCTGCTTAACTGTGTGTGGTAACTAACCAAACCTTCTGAGACTAATAGTCATAAAATAGAGACTCGGGGGTGGGGGAAAGATAATGGGATGGGGGAGAACTATAAGGAGAAAGATTGCATCGCTCCTCTTTTTTTTTCTTCTTTTTTTTTAATTTAAAGGGAGGACATTAATCTGTTGCTATTTTCTGCTATTTTGATATGCTGAAATGACAGTTCAGCACAAGGCAGTTACTTTGCTATTAATTCTGCTGGAGAAGTCCAACAAAAGGTGCAATGTTTCAGTTTTGAACACACAGCACAAAACAAATGGTTTAGTAAACCTAACAGAAGTGGTAGTTTTTTCATGACACAGAGTAGTTCTGCTATAGCTCTCAACTTGCCAGCAAGCCATCAATACAAGATGTAAAACTGGCATATACAGCACAAGCCTGAACACAGCTGTCTGAACTGATCTACTACTGGTCAGGTTCTTCTTGGGACTCACTCTGGCTTGATCATGGGCCGTATGACTTGGATGCTTTAAAGCTAGTTTAGCTGTGTATTAAAGGAAAGATTTGAACTTACCTACTGCAAATTACCCGCAACAGCAAATTTACAAAGTGGTTGGTTTTTAATGATCAGCTATCGTATTTGTAAAAAGAATTATTAAGTGATCAGGAAATTAATTTTGTTTCAGTCATTTTGCTGAGAGGCCATTACTTGCCCTCTTCATCCAAAACCAAAAAAGCCCAAAATCTAAACTATGGCTGCAGGAAGCGTTCAAGTAACTAAAAAAAACTTTCCCATTTTGATTCTTCTTATTCTCTAATGTCAATGTAACTATTTATTTATTTATTTTTAGGACACCTACTCAACTATTCAGGGATATTCCCCTCCCTCCGTGCTCTGTCTCTCTTTGCGAGAACACTTTTTAACTCTTTTTGTCTGGAAACTCACAGTACATTGCAGCATAAAGATGAAGAACTCCCACCCTTCCAATTCTTCAGCTATGCTGAAAACTTCAAAGTCATAACAATTATAAAAAAACACCCAACAAAAAGCAATAGCGCCCCAGTTTCTCCAATTTTACTTTCAGTATTAAGATAAATTAAGTAAAACTGACTGGTATTTTTTTCCCTTTTAATTTTTCCAACTTTTAGAGGTAAATTCTTTCTTCCTCAAAGCTAAAGAAGTGCTCTTCTCCTCCTCCTAGCAAAGCTTGTACGTGAACTAGAAAAGAAAAAATTTCTCTGTTTTGTCATTTTTGCTATGTAGCTTCAAAAACTACGTAACACTCCAAAAAGGAATAAAAAAAAAGAATCTTACCCATTGCTTGTTTCCCCATGGCACACTGGTAAGTGTTTCTTGGGGACTGGTTGTGGTGAGGATATGGAATTAGCCCAGCACAGACACCAAGAAGCGTGAAAGGCTCAATCTCCAAATGCGTTGTCTCTCTTAAAAGAAAAAGTACCAATTAAAGCAGCCTTATGAACAAACATCTTGACTAGAATTTATTTACTTTAGCAGTATTCATAATACTTCAATTCAGTTCTGTTCAGGAAAATGTAAGTCAGTAGGATCTCAAAATACGGATTCACTATGGGATTTTTATTTAAAAAACAAAACCAAAAAAACCCTTTCTTTTGGCTTTAAGTGTTTCCACATGAAAAGAAATCAAGAAGTAAATGAGGGTTTATGAATTTCCATCATGGAGAAAAAGCCTCCAGATAATGACAACCTGAGGGAGGTCAGTAAGACAATAAAACATCAGTTTATACAGTAAGACCCACAATGCCTTAAGGAATGTCTTCTTGTGTAATGAGAGTCCTCCGCATCAAATTACCAGTCTGAGAGATCTAGAAATCCACTGGGGAGGTGGAGGAAGGAAGAGCAAAACAGATTCAGGTATTGAAAAAAATAAAAGTGTAGTTTTAGTTTTCCAAGGTCAGTTATATAATACCAGTTAGAGGGAAAACACCTGTGCCCAAACTAGATCCAGTGCCATGGGTGATATAGCATAATAAAACACTATTTGAAAAGCTCTGCAAATATTTTGGAAGTGATTATGTAGTTAAAAGACAGTACTAATGAGAATTAAAAAGACAGGGATAAAGAGTAAAGACTGAGAGATAACAAAATTTGTTCTACCTGGCAAGAGCTTCAGAGGAGAAAGTCCATGCTCACAGACAATTAAATCATAGCGTGCATTGGGATGCAAGTGGAGTGACTAATAACTAAGGATGGTGTGTACAATAAAGCTTGGCCGGTGCAGACCTGCTTTTTAAATCAAGATAAGTAACTTGGAAATGGGGAATTTTGAAATAAAGATAATTATAAGTAAACCCATCCAAAGCATATCTTTCACAATGTTCTGGAGTTATTACACAGAGCTTGGGTTTAGGCATACATTGCTTCCTCCACTGACTTAAACCCACTGCATTCTGAAAATCATTTCTTTAATGTTAGACTTCTCTTAGAAGTCTTTTGGAAGATTCTTTTTTAATTAATTAAACAAATTGATTTGATTACTAAACTTTAAGACTTTGCAAAAGAAATGACTGGAAAAAATCTTTATTATGACAACACTCAAAAGACAGCAAAGCATCACAAGCTCATAAAGGCTGAGGAATTACCCACAAATACATACAGACCGAAGGCAAGGACCAGCACGAACTTACATAAACAATGTAAGTATTACTGGAAAAAATGAAATCTGAAAAAAATCTGGAAACCCTGAGGTGCAAGTCTAGTGAAATTATCTATCAGTCCCAGAATTCTTTATAAAATGTCTGAGCAACCTAAACATCACCTTCTGGCCAGAGGATAGCCAGTATTTTTCTCCGCTTGATAAAAAAGCAGCTATGTTAATTGAAGCTTGTCTTAAGAAAGCATGAATGGTAGAATCCCAACTGCAGTCAAGTAATTGCAAAAGGGTCTCAAGAGCCAGAAGCAAACTTAAAGCACGGACTGCTCCCCCATTCTGTAGAACTTCACAGAACTGCTGACACTTCTCAAACAATAAAACAAGAGGCTTAACACTTATTGATAGTGAAGTTAGCAATTTCTTCAGACGGTACTAGCACACAGAACTGCATATACACTTTCAGATAGGGTATTCAACACAACTATTTTTCCACTGAGGTCGATCCTATTTCAACCAAAGATGCAACATATGCAGATCCTAGTATCTTATGAAGTATTCCACAGTGCTAATGAGAGACCTTCAAACTTTACAGAGCAGTTCAATTTCTGCAAGTCAAAATGCTACTGCCAGAAATGGGCCCAAGAAAGGAAGGCAACCTCGTGAGTCTGAAAATCAGAGTTACAAATGGGTAAGGAAGAAATTGAATGCATTAAACAGAGTCAAATCCTCCAAAGAAAAACTCTTAATTGGATTGGAAAGGTAAAGAGAGGATACTGTAGCTAAAAGAAGCCTACATTACAAAGATACTTCACAATAGTGGATTGTATTGGTTGTATTACCACAACGAGTTGTACCAACATGGTCACACCATTTAAAATGCAAGATGATCAGCTGGGGGAATGGGGTACACAAATCAACTATTCAGGATGTAGGGAATATCATTACTAAACACAAGGAGCAATGTGTTCATACAGTGCAAGCTCAGATACTTATGGCACTATTAGCTACGAGCATTGAAGCTAAACTCAAAACAAGTTGATGGACAACACAAGAATCTCCCAAACATTTTGGCAGTTATTGTGGAGTCGTTTCCTCACACTAGTCTGTTGGAAGTTCACTGCCTCCTTCTATGTTTGATTAAACAGTGATTTCAGGTGATATGCTCCCATTAATCTTCCTAGCTGAGTCAGGTGTCCTGTAACTTAAAACTTTTCAGCTCTGGTGCTTTGTGGAAGTTATTTAATTTTGGCACAAATGACAGCAATTGTGTGTGCTCTTCTTTGATCATTGTGCTAGTTTTGGCTGAGATATAGTTAATTTTCTTCATAGTAGCTGCTTTGGATTTGTGCTGGAAACTGTTGATAACACAAGGATGTTTCAGTTACCGCTGAGCAGTGCCTACACAGAGCCAAGGCCTTTTCTGCTCCTCACACCACCCCACCAGCGAGCAGGCTGGGGGTGCATAAGAAGTTGGGAGGGGACGCAGCCGGGACAGCTGACCCCAAAGGGATATGACTATATGATGTCATGCTCAGCATATAAAGCTAGAGGAAGAAGAAAGAAGGGGTGATGGCATTTGTCTTCCCAAGTAACCGTTACACGTGACGGAGCCCTGCTTTCCTGGGGATGGCTGAACACCTGCCTGCTGATGGGACACGGTGAATGAATTCCTTGTTTTGCTTTGCTTGTGCGCGCGGCTTTTGCTTTACCTGTTAAACTGTCTTTATCTCAACCCACGAGTTTTCTCACTTTTACCCTTCTGATTCTCTCCCCCATCCCACCGGGGGAGAGCGAGCGAGCGGCTGCGTGGTGCTCAGTTGCCGGCTGGGGTTAAACCATGACACTCATGCATACAGAAGCCAGACAAGAGCATGCTAAGACTAATTTCTTAAAGTGATAAAGTCTTCAAAAGCCTGGGCAGGAGCGATACAATTTAATTAGCAGAGTTAATGCATTTCATTTGGCAAAGGTTAAAGATAACTGAAGGTCTCATCCAACTCCACTGAAATCAATGATGTATTTCTATTGGCTTCTGTGAGTACTTGACCAGGACAGAGCACGTAGAAAATGCATTTTCTGCATAAATCTACTGATCAAACATTTCATGGAGATAACTTCTAACACCTTATATGCAGCCTTCAGTTGACAGGATATTGTCAGAGAAACATTAAAAAAAAAGAAAGAAGACAGGAGGACTTAAATTAAAATAATGCTTCCTTTAATGTGGGCTCTCTAATCACAAGACAGAGGAAAACAAAAAAACCAAGCACCAGGTCCTTTATATACATAGGAAACACAACAAATGTGGAAATCTTTCTAAATGAAAATCACATATCAGGAATGGGTTGAACATAGGTGGTAAAGAATACATAGAATGATACTGACATTTTTATCAGGGCCCATTAATACATCCAAAAGTCAACGGGAAGGTCTCATTCCAATACTTCAGACATTTAGTGTAAGCAGGTTGACTAAGGTCCCTCTACAGCCATAAGAGAGAGAGATTTTTTCCAAATGACAATTACATGCTACGATCATCATTTAACACGTGGAATCATTTACCTTCTGGATTCCTATTGTATAAAATTACTTATGATGAGCAGCCCAATGATTAGAACAACCACAACAACAAAAAGCCACATCCAGAGAAACAAAGGATATATCTTTATGTTTTTTGTATTTTTGAGAGTTAGGAACAGATCTCCCAAAACCCAAAAGCTAAACCGTTTTTTGTAACTATTCCAAGGATAATTTAGGATGTCTGTAAACAAATTTCTTTCTTTAGCTTTCATCTGGAATCATTTCAACCATTAGCGGGGAAGCAGTGCGTATGTGTGAAAACAGTAACATTATTAATATGCTTGCATTTCAGTGAGTCACCCTATGAAAGTTTCTCCTGTACCAGTGTTTAGTCTGAATGTGTACTTACTTATTAATTGTATGTTCATATAGTGCAATGTTACAGTCATTTTCTTCATTCACATCCAAATATTCAACAAGGCCTTCATGCAAGAAGTCTTCAAAATTCCTACAGTTAAATTAAACAATTACATTAGAAGTATTGTCTTTTATTTCTGCAAAAATAAAACTACATAATACATATATGGAAGGAATGTAATGTGTAGGACAAACTGGAGAAATACTTTTACATGAAAAGTTCTGTATATTTTTCATATTTAAAGAAAACTATTTTTTTTAATTAATCCCCTTGACCATTCACTGCTTCACACAGTCTGACTGACTAATGTTACTTATTTGAACAACTAAATAAATTTTTCCTGTATGTACTCATCATCACTACAAATGTAGGCAAATATAAAGGTAATCTAATAAGTTTTTGTGATGATTTTGCAAAATTTAGTTAAAGCTAAATTTAAATGCTTTTGTGTGTGGTTTTTTAAACACCCAAACTAAGAATTTGCAAGGAGTTTCAAAATTAATTCTGAATGTGCCTAGTTGAGGGTGGTCAAGTCGATATTCCTTTGAAGTGTTTGATTTTTCAATCAGGAGAAGGACAATAGTGCCTCAGGCCTTCCGCTTGGAGAAAGATGAGGCTGTGAGATGTATTTATTCTGTATAATCTCCAAATATCATAGCAGTAACAAAATAAGACGACCAGACTTAATTTGACTTCAAACAGAAAACCTCCAATACACTGATTATTCATTTATACAGGACAGTAGACTTCTCTACACAGCTGACCCCAAGATTGTGAAATACTGACTGACTGAAGTATTTCTGCACAGTATTTGCTTAGTGACGACGAATATGGTCTACTTGAATTGTGTACCTGTATCCCTGAGCCAGTTCTTCCATATGCTTGTTTGTAACTGCAGGTTTTTGCTTCTTGACAATTATGTAGGGTCTACAATTAAAAAAAAAAAATTATCATAGCAAATACTTAGGCAGGTAGCTTGGGTAACTTAATTTACACTTACATTAAGAACTCTGCCTATGCACAACCTATTTTATAAACCACTTTTAAAATTTATCTACCTTTAACTGATATAGCCACATAAATACAACCAGTAATTATTCATACCTTGGTTTGATACACAGATATCCTGAACTGACATATTGTCTGTGAAGTACCCAAAAAGTGTACAAGAAAAATTAAGATTTCAATGTGAAGGAGGAGGCCTTTCTTTCCCCCCTCTAAATCTTTAAATTAACATTTTATAAGTTTTACTCACACATTTTGTTGATGGCTTTAAGAGATATAAGATTTCCCAAACTACAAAGCTAAGAACAGCATTAAGTTCTATGGATACTGCAGGGACTGCAACACTGAGTGAACAGTTTGTGCTCAAGTGTCCACATGCAAGAATGTATTTTGCTGTTACTTACATGATGTAAAGCACAGTCATTTACTATGGGTGACCTCAGATGAATCCATAAATTTCAACAGCACATGGATCTCTGAAGGCTTCCTTACAGCAAGAAAACACTGACACAAAGGATGGCATGCAAGAATGAAACGTCAAGGGCTGTTGCTATTTGGACAAGCTGCTCTTATAAAGAGCAGCAAATAGCTACAAGATACTTGTGGAGTCCCCTCTGAAGTCTAAATAATTGTTCGAAGACTAATGAGCACTTTTAAATGGTTAATAGGGATATCTGAACAACTGCAGGGTGGGGGGGGGTGCCACAAAGCAAACTTGGTAAACTCCTGGAAATCCACATGATTTCACTTGTCTGTATTTTACAAACTGAAAGTTTTGCTGCATCTCCAAACCTGCAGAATGGCCAATACTAGCCCTCACTGGAAAAGTGATTTCTCAGCCACTGAATATGCCCCTACTCTGGATCTCTTGACCATGATTAACTGACGGTTTGCTCATATACTATTTTGAAGCCTCTAGCGTGCCTCAAACTGCATTCAGCATGCTCTGAGATTCAGTTAATGAATAAGGTGGAATGGCAACCATAGTTTTTAAAGTATGCACAAAATATGCACACAGCTAGTCAATGCTAAAATATGCATATATTTATTAACTCATTGTGCCTCTCCCAATCTCTGCTTTGTTCATCTTTTATGCTTTGTTCTTTAGGCTAATTACTTGGGCCTGGAGATGTTTTACTTGTAAATAACCTACCACAGTGCTGCCATAATCTGACTGGAGTCTCTACCTACTACTATGTATCAACCTTTCTGTCTCAAAATATTATGTTCCACTCTTTCTCAGTCTAGCCACCCAATTCCTTTTTGCTTTCCTCTGTGACATGCCTGTTATTCAGGTACTCCTTCTGTGTAAGTAAGAGCATAAGCATCTCAAGGCAAAGACCTTCATTATAGGTTTATCGAATTCCCTACCTGCTTAAGGGTAAACAATGAAATAAACCAAAATTGTGAGATGCATTCCTTGGTATTACAGCAACAAGTATGCACGCCTGAGTAAGTTTTGTACCAGAAGTAAAGGCCCTTGAAGAGTAGCTTCTCATTCTAAAATGTGGTATCACACCCATGGGATATCAGGCAAGTGGCTTCTTGTTTCTTGCTTCACAGTAAGCAAAAAATCCCTCCAAAGACATAGGACGTTACTAGAGTTGCCAATCAGGTTGATTTTAAAAAAGAAAAAGGGAGGGGGGCATTAAAGAAGATAGAAGAAACATTTTGTTTTGAGTTTTGTTTACAGATAAAATAGATTTATTTGGGCTTTTTTATTTTTTAAGTTGCTGACTATATAATATGTTTCTCAAATCTGTCTGTTTTGCATGAGGGCTATTTAAGGAGAAAAGATATGCTCAAAGGCCCTACTGAATTTGCTTAAATCTGTACTTGTGAAAATCTCAGCCCAGAGATACAGTGCATAAAACAGTGTTTATAGTAAGTTCACTAGTGAAATAATTCTGATGAGATGTTTACCTGCACAGTCTCCCTCCATCAGAGGAAATGTAAACACATCTGTCAGAAAGATTTGTAGAGATGGAAACAAATTCATTGATATAACCTGCTCGACGCATTATCCGAAACGTGTTGACTAATTTCTGATGATCACGTATGACACCAAGGATGTTACCTATTCAGAAAAAGAATAAATTCATGGTACATTCTTAGCATATCTGAAACTCTGCTTACAAATTCTGATCACATCTAGCATACACAGAAGTACTTTCTACGTGCAAATAATAAGAGTTGTCATAAAATTTCCCGTTTCTGACATGAATAAGAATTGGCTCTTTTTTCTCTCAGTAAACATAAAAAAAAGCATCAGAATTTCACAGGTCATTTATCTGTTTGCCTCCAAATAGCTTCAGAAACCAAATGGTGTGCTTCATCCAGCTTTCTTCAAACACGGTTCTGCTCAGGTGCCCATTTACCAATTAGCGTACAAGCAAACAAGACTTCTGAAGCCTGCAATTTCACCTGTACTGGAACGGATCCAAGGTTTCCAAGAACAGACCAAGCAACTGTCCTGCTGCCTTGGCAGAAATTTTAGAAAGATATGATATTTTTGATATATGTGATCACTCACAGCAGCACCAAAATTACTCATTCAGGAATTTAGCTCCACAAGCCATTGCTATCTTAGAAGGGCACTTTAGCACGTACTTAAGTATTGTGATGCATGATGAACAAACGAGTAAAATTCATTTAAAGAGTCACCTGACCAAAGTAATCTTAATATATAAAATATAAATAAGGATGGTGTCATTTTAAACAAAACTTTAAAGGAGGAGACAAAGCATGATATTTTAGGGAGTTTATAAGACAATCCAAAGGTCTTTATAGCTTAAAGGATTTGTACTTAACAGATTTTCTGCCCTCTTAGATGACAAGTTTAAATCAGAATCAAGTCAGCCATCCACAAGACTGATTTTTTTTTATGGATTAAACCCACAAACTAGTAGATTGAACAGTAAATTGTTTTGCCTCACTTAGTACAAGATCATCTACATTTGGGAAGATAACCATCTTGTTTCATACCACAGATTGAGCTTGTAAAGGAAGAATCGAGTATTTCTGCTCTGCACTCCTCCTTGGACCATAAAACAAGACAGAAAAGAGTGCATGTGGTTTCACTGAACCTTATCTTTAACATACTGCTACAGAAAAGCAGAGCAAAGGAATGCAGTTTGGTCAAGTGTTGCTTTTATGTTACGGGGAAAAGGCAGGATTGAAGAACAACTGCTGTTTAATTCAAAGGTAAATGGAGAACTTATTCATGGTGACAGACATTAAATACTAGTCCCTGGAAGTGGATGCTGTTGACAAAAGGCTATTTTTAAATCACAGTTGTAGTTTTTAAAATGTCAGTATTTTGAAATCTGATATCATAGTACCTGTTGATTTAGAAACTCTAAAAGGTCAGTTGTAAGAGGAACATAAGCGTGCAGCTGCAAAGCACATATCATTCCTTTAACAAAGAGGCCTGTTTTCCAAGGTCTAATTTCTTCTAATCATTCACAAAGCAAGTTGCTCTTTAAAAGGTAGTTTTAAAGAGAATAGCATTGCTAAACTTTGCAAACAATTCACGTTTCCTTTCTGTTTTAAAGGCACTTGCATGAATATGTACAAAAATAGATAAAGATTACAGTAAAATTAAATACTTCCTGTGAATGAAGCTCTGAATTTGTAAATTTAAGTTATTACAAATTTAGCAGCGTTATTCTCTTATTTTGAAAGTACTTTATGAATGGCCTCTCATTTGCTGAGTGCCTGGAAAAACAAACAAATCTGTAGTAGAACACATATTTTTGTGCCTATTTATCCAAGTGTGCTTAAAAACAGTACTAAAATTTGAAAAAGCTTCCATTTCCCAGCTACACACATTTGCAGTCAGAGTTCTGAGGACGCAACTTCAGACAACTAAGTGCCATCATCTGGCCTATCTACTCTGCCTAATCCTATCAAAATATTTACAGATGAAATTATCTACACCTGGAAAATGGCATCTGTGGTTGACTGTGCTCCAAAAACCGTTGGAGGGCTTCCGAAGCCTAACTCTCCATCAGCAACAAATCAGAGTCGGACTGCTGAAAAGTTACATACCGTTAAGGAAAACAAGGAACACATTTGGATATGAAAGTTCTTCACCACAGAGCAAGTTGACATCTTCAACTCCAAGATTACTGGCTAATTTAATAATCGGGCCATCTTCCATATCTGTAGTAATGTGAGTCATGAGGGCGAGGTTTTTAACCAAACCACAAGCCTAAAATAAAAAAATACATCTTTTATCCATTTTATTCCAAAGTATTAATATTATACATCTTTTTCTTACAAAACTGTACTTATGAACAACAACAAAGTCAAAAGTATAAAGTGAAAGAAATTAAACAAATTACACTGAAAATTGGGAAAGAAGCAAGAAAGAAATTTCTATATCACACTGAGATGTAATGTTTTAGCATTTACAAACTAATAAAAAATGCAGGCGATGAAGTTGTAGTTCTTAAGTTATCCATCCATGTTTAACCCTGTATTTCTCTCTTCATTGTAACAGCTACTTAGAAGCATAATGGAAATACAACATCAGTCTATCATTTTGCCAGATATCCTGTATGTTCAAACACAAACTTTACCATTTTAAAATGAAAAATATCCAAGTATCTTATGCAATGCAATTTTATTTCAGCCGCTTAATGAGACTAGCTCATACTGACTACATATTTATGCCAGAAAGTTCAGAGTTCCTCCAGTACATTCTATACAGAAAAAAAGAAGAAAGAAGAAAGAAGGAAGAAGGAAGAAGGAAGAAGAAAGAAGGAAGAAGAAAG